TTTTGATTGATTCGCGCCGTTCTTTTGTTGCAGGCACTGTAAACAAACTTCTTGTTCTCGTCTTTAATTGTAAATCCGAAACTTATTCCCCTCTCGAAATACACCACATTTATTTCATCTCCGAACTAGTTATAGATGCCATCTCCCTTAGTAATATAAGCAATATACCTTGCGTCTTTCTAACCCTTTTCGCCGTTGCGCCGTGTAATTTAGATGAACTTACTCATCTACCTTCTGACACCCGCATACATTCCCTTTCATCCACTCAGACAATTACTCTACCGTTTTGCCTTCTCTTATTCCCGCCCCAATTGTTCCACCTAATAATTCTACGTCATAAACAAGTGATTCAGTTGAGCCTCTTGTGAAAACCAAATTGATTTGCAACTGAGTGTATTTCTCGAAAACAGTCCAATTTGGGTTCAAGTAGATCATAAGGTTGACGGGAACTCGGGGACTGCGCCTACCTAGTAAGCCCCAAGAAGGGTAAAACCGGTCGTGGGCTGTCGAAGAGTTTTCAGCAACCCTGTGAGTAGTTTTCTTTATGGAAATTCTGCGTCTATTTCCCGACCTGTTAAAAATCATCGCTTCGGACCTATTGTTGGATCACTTACTTTTCATAATCCCTAGTAACTATATGTTCATTTTCACAAGGGAACACACTACTTACAGGTTTGATGAAAACTCTGACAGTCCACCGCCGGCTTCGTCCTTCTTGAAGTTCCCCAAGTAGAAGTAGTATGTGCTGTAAAGAAAATATGCCGCGAAATCTCGAAAATTATGCCAGCTGAAACATGGAACGCCCGTTGTCCACGTTCACCTGAAGAATATCGCAAGTGATAGATTCAGTTGGACCTCTCGTCAGCATTGTAATTTCCAAGTGGACGTAGCTTGTCAGTTACTCATTTATTTTGTCTATAGAGCGTTCTTCCGTTTAATACTATCTAGTTGGAAGGTTGGCGCGATGATTCAGTGGTCAGAGCGCGAATTTACTGACCAGAAGGTCCGTGGTTCGAGCCCGATCTCTGTCTCTCGACTTCCCGTGTCTAGTCTTGGGAAACCTGACAGTATCCCAGCCCTCGTGCTTCCTTCTAGTGGCATGGCAGTTAGCCACGAAAAGGATGCTACAGCTGAACGAACGATTGTTAACTTATTTACGCCATTACCCTCTTTCTGTTTACGGTACATGGCGTTTTATGGCTCTTTGCACGCATAGGTTTGCGTCCACCCATATGCTGGTATACACACGCACACATTCATCATCATACCTAATCTAGCAAATCGCTAAATCTGATTACCGTTCATTTTGGACCCCTTGGCTAATCGATTGCAGTTCTGAACAGTTGGACTGTTGTCGCCAATCTTATGTAGGATTTAGACTGAGTGGAATGAATCCTGTCTTGGCAACGTTTTTTGGGGAATCAGGTTGTGGGAATCATCTGTATGGACCAGGTATGCGAAGGCACCATAATTCTACATATAGCGGACTTATATGTTTTGGTTAACTTGGGTTTAGGACCTGGTGATTTGATCTTGGGCTCAGTACAGAATGAATGTGCATCGTTCCAACACGAATCTGTGCTACTATGGCACTAAGCGGTCTTTGTTTTCGTTTCGATTTGACTGTTACTGATGACAAGCATTTCGCTCAAGTGACGCAAGAGTCTTGTGCGTTAAAGGTTGGCTTTTCATCATGATAACCAATGAAGCGATTTACAGGCACCTCGTTAATGTAGCAACAATGTGGTGTCGCGTCACGTGTGCAAACGATGTTCTATTCAGCGTCATCGTCGTTTGCTGTTTTTGCAATCGAATTCCTGGGGAATTTGTGTAGCTTCTCCTTGCTTATCGGATATCTTAGAAACAATAGGACCAGTGAACTGGGGTGGTTTCATACCCGACCATATATCCTTTTTCAACAATCGTGCCCATTTCGCTGATAAGCCGTGTGTATTAACCCATCGACCGACGGTTTGTAAGAGGTTTTGAAACTGCGCTTATGGCTCAGAATTTGTTCAGGCTTTTCCACAGATAAAGTCGTACCCGTATGTCCTGTCTATTTATTGTAACTTCAGCGAACTTACCCTTATTTTCAGGGAGCTAGCAGTTTTCGACCGAGTCCCAGATCGTTCGATCCTTGGGTATAGTAATCCACTGGAGAATTGGAAGATAGTCCGATCCGAGGATAACTTTGCTTCCAGAGGTCCGCTCTGATAGCTGGCTAGTGTACTGTGTTAGGTGTGAACTGCGGATGTGATATCATGCGAATACTGTCCACACGTATTTGTGTAATTTACATGCCGGACTGTGTTGAAAATGGACTGGCATTACTGCTGCAAATCCTGGGTACCCGTCATGGCTCATCAAACGATACTCAATTGCGTAAACGTCAGTTTATGTTCTACGTTCAGGTTACTAGTAACCTAGTGCCTATTTTGTGCAGCTGTTACTTTGAAGTAGCCAGTGAGGCCAAACCTGCTCGATTACGAGTCTGAGAGTGTAGCTACTGTACTGTATCACAACATGCTCAAGCACAATCTGTCTGCGAGGAAATTTCACAACAGTTAATCACTTCTCATCTAACCGTTATAGTTTAAATGCGAATTTCGTGACAGTGTAATGTGCTTTGCATTTTTCAGGAATGCGTGTAACTGTGATTCAAAACTGAAGTACTTCAGTTTGGCCACTTGAACCTTTATCAAAAGGAAACCAGGATAGACATAACACACTACTTACAAGGTTGCTGAAAACTCTTCGACAGTTTTCAGCAGCCTCATAGGTAGCGTATTACGTCTACACAATGCATTGCGATACTGGCATGTCGTGCCAAATGAGACATGAGGCCCTCTGTTGCGGGACATTCTGTTGAAGGAGAACATCATAAACGAAAGATTCAGCTGGGATTCGGTTTATTCTCTCTTGAAACTCAGACTGGCATGCTTAAGTCATATAATCATACTTATCTGTGATAAATTCACTGTTACTCTTACTACTCGGTGCCTTTAACCTGCAATTTGTGTGAGTAAGTAAACCACCTTGGGTGTCTGTTTCTCCGCAATAAGATTGACATCAACTGCCGTACTGACGATTGGTGCGGAGCTTGGCGCACAAACCAACAACCCATGCTTTACGAGTTAGAACCCTTCATGACTTGCTCACATTGCGGTGATCCAATCTCTTGTTTACGAGCACCGGTTAGGTATGTTGCTCAACTGACATGAGAATGGCACTCGCTTTATCGTGGGTACAAGTCACAAACTTTGGAAATAACGTGCGGGTTTGAAATCAAATCCCTCGACCGGCAGCATTCGGTCACAAAGTTTTATAGGATTCACGAGGGTTCATGTACTGCCAGATTGCTCGGACCTAGACAAGAGCAGTCACAGATCACAACCACAGTTCAATCTTGAACCCCTAAATTATCTTAGTCTGGCTGAACTACAACTTTTTGCAAATCATTTAGTAACTTCAGAAAGGTTCGAGCGTTCGTATCTTCCACATCTGGAAAGTAAGTTATCCTTCACTAATCGATCAGTCGCAACGGCTAGGTCATATAACGGAAGGCAAAAGTTTTTAGTTTATGCCTTACTTCTCCGAGAGTGGCCGAAATACAGAAACACAGATGGACTAGACGTGTTTCGGAATAGGTGTCCAATCAGCTGAGACCGACCAGACTGACTTGGTTGCTTTTTTCCAGCTCGCGTCAGTTTGTTTGTATCCGTTTTATGCCAAACATTGCATGCCACGTTTCTGAGTAATACAATTTGTTTTTTCACAATAGATGAAGTGTTCTTCACATGTTCTCCTGTCCCTCGCTAACGTAAGGGCGCACCATTAAGGGGTTTCTTACTATGACTTTTCTGTTAGGCTGTGAAAAATATCCAAAAGTACTCTGTATCGTCTATTGATTTGTTGGCCAACCCTGTCATTTGGTTTACAAATATTTGATCACCGTTGAAACGTATCGTTGTTTCGATCCACTTCTACGTACGTCCTTATGGGTTTGTAAACCTCATTCTATATTTTAAAATGACTAGTCGGAGATTGTCCCTTTCATCGGTTAATCGTGTTGAACTCTAAGTCACCCACCTCCCCAGTCGAAAAGTGAGGTTTCCCAAGTGGGGTTTCCCAAGCCTCAAGTTTTTAACCTCCTAAGAGTATCCTCCTCCGGAGAACGGACGCTCGAGATTGTGTTATCTGGATTCCAACTGACTGCAAAATGCCGGTCTTTCATGGATGTCGTTGCAAACTTACAAATATAACTGAATTGGTATCCCTGGAGTTAGTCAGCCTAAATGTACACGACCATAATCATCATCATCATCATCATCATCATAATCATCATCATCATCATGTACACGACCGCCGGAAAAGCAAGCAAGCAAGCAAAGGGACGTTTTTCATCATCAGATGTCGCCATATTTTATAACAGCTAGTAATTTCAAAAGGAATCTTCAATTAGGAATAGACTGTTGATCGTTGGAAAGAATGGTGCTGTACAATTGTTTACATCAATGCGAAACTCGTTAGACCGAACGCCAGTCTGACTCCCTCGATGGTCGATTGACCTTTATGGCATGACCTCAGGAAGCATATGATCATCAGGCACGGTGGTTTTCACCTGACGTTGTGCGACTTCTCCCATATTGGGGTTACCCGTCAATCAACCCCGTTCAGTTGGTGTTTTGTCCTCATTCCACACAGGCTGTGGTAGATTCTTTATCAAGGCCTCACTATTTTTTATAAGTTGGATGCCTTATTTCGCGCGATTTCTCGTTCAAACTTTGTCACTGATGGGGATTGATGTATACGCCATTCGTCGTTTCGTCCACTTCTTCAGTTTCGATTGTTTTTCCCCAGTTTCCATGCTCTTGTTATGCCGAAAGATCTTGAAGGAGGCCTTGATCCATACACCAACTGACCTGGTTGAAGCTGTTGCAAAATTTTGCGGAGACCAACAACTGGTCAATGCGATATTCACACTTGTCTGTTCTCATTTTTAGCTCTTTTCACGAGCGTGTCACATGGGATTCTTAGCATTCTCCATGCTCTTCATTGATGTTCCCATTGGTTGCGGTGATGTTGGATGCCTCCGGCTTACACATCATTGATCAGCAACGATACACATGTTTCCGCTATTTCTACTCGTTCCCTTGCTGAATCGAGTGTACGGCGGTGAACCCCCTCTCTGGGCATCAAATTATCCGGACCCGGCCTCTTTTCCCGAAGAACTGCGGCGACATTACATCAACCTGAATGGGAAAGTCGACTGTGACTTTAATAGGAAAACAAATTGTCTATTCAAATCCTCCACGGAAGGGTGGAATTTTCATCAAAGCCTACGTGAATTGGCCGAGCAACTCAAAAAAGCAGCAGAGGCAGCTGCTTTTGCCGTCTCTGCAAGCAACACCGATGCGGCCGGTCGAAACGAAACCAGGGAATTGGGCGCAGAGGTAAGTGCACTCTGTCCTGGTTTCAGTTCCTTTTATTGGTGCTAATTATGCATGCTCTCCGATCGACCAGATCTTGTTCGGTTCACACACTCCATGCGCGTTTCGACACCAATCATTGTCATGGAACTCACAGTGTATCGTCTAGAGTTCTGATCGGTTAATCAGATGTAAGTCGTGTACCGAATTAGCACCGGCTCCAGTGGCTACAGTTTTGTTCATCGAAATGTGGAAGACCAAGGTGGAGGTAGTAGGACATTGCAGACGATGATGTAGTAAGGGGATTGTGGTCGAATCACCCCAATTATTTGATAAATTAGCATTAGAGGTGAAATCTCTGTCTATCAGGACAATTAACTACTAGCCAATTGAGTCTGAGGTTCCCCAGTCAGGGAACCATAAGTTGTCAACTTTTCTGAGTTCCATACTTCGTTACCAGGTCATGAGCTCCCCGTTTTTCCATCGTCCCCACTACGCACAGTGAGCTATGCGACGTAGATGTTCTTCTGACATGCGAGGTGCGTGTGTTCTAACCCTCATCCATTTCAGGAGAGTTCCTTCCTAAAATTGTCCGATACTCCTAGGAGGCTCAAACAATGCCTTGGGGACATCAGTGAATAAACATCGACAGTACATCTGTTCACGGAGCCCTCCATAAAGCAGTGAGCATATGTCGCACTGTCCCTGACAAGCCGACTGACGACACGTTGCAATGGATGTATAGAGGCAATCTAAAAGTTGTCCTTCTCTCTCCAGTTCGGAAAGCGATTGCTTCTTTGGCCGACCCGCTGCCACCAAGACAACCATTCAGGTAGACAAATTCATGCATCGCCTTGATTGGCTGATCTACAAACATGAGGTTCAGGTTTGATCCGTCCAACTTAACACTTCGCATGTGTGAAGCCCATACTAAACCGAGCAGCAGAATTGCTCAAGTGATGCAAAATGGCTGGTATCTATAAAAGATCTGAATCAAGGTAGGAATACTCTAAACCGAGCAGCAGAATTGCTCAAGTGATGCAAAATGGCTGGTATCTATAAAAGATCTGAATCAAGGATAGGAATACTGTGTTTCAGAGACAGGTAGAGAATATTCGAGCGGCGTATCCTAAACACGGTTGAAGATGAATGGTGGGAGAGGACATCCCTATTTTATACCACTGGACGCGACAGACTCGGGCGAAGACCCTTACGCACCCGCAGGATTTAGTGTGCAGTGCCTTTACAAGGAATAAGAACTTGAAAATAACTAATGATTGTCAGGCACCGTCAGAAAAGCAAATGCCTATTGCTGGCCGTTTGAAACCGAGGGGATATTTAAAAACTTGTCTCAGAACGAAGATTTAGTCAATGCGTCCTCGGCAAAGGTTGCTGCAGCTACTAGGCTGATGCCACAACGGTTTTCACACGATGCTATCGCTTTGAGGATTGGGGAGCTCAACTTGTTTAACGTAAGGTTTAACACCACATTCGAAAAGTGTAGGGGGCAAAGGATCTTGGTTGAATGCATTTTTACATTTTAAATAGGATATCTCCCCATAAGTTTGTGTTATCAGTGGTGGCTGGTGCCACTGGTCTATTTAGCTTCTCTGGGTTCTTTCACAGGCAGGCCAGCTAGGTTTTCTTTTGAAGTGTTCGGTCCGTCGTTCGAATTGGCAGTTCTGCGAAGGAATTACAGCCACATTTTTTTCGCCGCTCCGCTGTCTATTTAGCTTCTCTGGGTTCTTTCACAGGCAGGCCAGCTAGGTTTTCTTTTGAAGTGTTCGGTCCGTCGTTCGAATTGGCAGTTCTGCGAAGGAATTACAGCCACATTTTTTTCGCAAATCGCTCCGCTGACACCATTCTAGGCTTTCTCATGGTCATCCTTTTCACCCGGACTTTCACAGCCCACCAGCTTATTCTTTCCTCACCCGCGGTCTTGATTATGCGACATCTTAGGAATCTAGGAGAGCCAGTTTCGGGTGTGACCTTTCTGGCTTGAATAAGATCCGTTGGTCTCGACAAGGTACAGTGCTTTTTTATTTCACTAGGATTAATTCGGCTGACGGTCTCAAAATTTAAAAGCATAGCTTTTTTCACCCGTCTATTCATCGTTAAACCAATCTTCGCTCTCACCGAGGATCTTCCCAACCAAATCAGCCCATTTTAGCTACTTAAACCCGTTGATGTTGACGTGCAGAATTACTCTACTCCAGCGTACATACTTTGGGTGTAAAAAGGAACGGCTACCAGGACCGTACAATTGCATTGCCGGAACCGAGTGCCGTACCTCATAAAGAATAACGATCCTAAGTGAGCCCACGGTGGGCTTGTGGTTGGTGACTTCTAAATGGCGTGGTGTGAGCGCCTGTGCCAAAACTTTGTACTGGCCAGAGTGTGTCCACCCCACAACTGAAGAAGTTGCTCCTCGTTCAGCTGTAACACCCTTTCGGTGCCTAACTGCCATGCCACCAGAAGGAAACACGAGGGCTGGGATACTGCCAGATTGCCCAAGCCTAAACAGGGGAAGTCGAGAGACAGAGGTCGAGTTCGAACCACGGACCTTCCGGTCAGTAAATCCGCACTCCAACCACTGAGTTCTCTCGCCCCCTCCTCACTTCCCCTATGATGAATATCAACCAAAAAGTGCCCTTTCGATGCATAGTTGCCATGCCACACGAAGGAAACATGAAGACCCAAGCCTAGACAGGAGCGATCGGGAAGCCACCGTCTGGTTTGAACTGTTACCTTTCCTGTGTTTTCTTAACGGCTGAGCTACCTATTAAACCATTGCTTGTTTGCATGGATATATTTCGTGCCACTTGGACCTTCTCTTGGTGTGACCAGCCGGACTACCCTCCTTGTTTCATACATCGAGCAAAAACAGTCTACCACAGATAGGTCCCACTTTCTTCGCTGTCATTTCTGAACCACCCGTCCTCTCCATTTATTGCCCACTCGTTTGTGGACTTCGGCCGCGGAGATTTCTAGGCTTGAGTGACCTGACAGTATCTGAACGATCGTGCTTCCTCCGGCTGTTATGGGAGCTAGGTACTGAAAGGGGGTTTCAGCTAAACGGTCATTATTATTATTACTATTATTAATCCCTTTCCGAACCTCGTCTTGCGACTGGGACAATTAAATCTACCATGTAAAGGCAAAGTAACTTGGATCGAACACCATAGCAATCGATGAGTAACAGGCTAAAGGCGTTTTGGGAGGACCAGGATATTTCTGGTGGTGGTGGTGACGGCTGACTACCCATGACGTTTGCGCATAGGTGACCACGAAAGGTTCGAATTTTGCTCAGACCGTCAATTGGGCACACAGCCAGATTGTCAACTGGTTGGATGACAACTGTGCCAGTTGTTCATATAATCCATACTTCGTTCAACCCATGCTGTCTCATACTGTCTTTCTTTTCTGCTCATTAATATGCAGCTTCGATCAACCACTAAAGCATTTACAATCCGATTACTTTCATTTTGCATCACCCCATCTCCTCCCGCCGCACACCAACAAACTCCGTGCCTCTCTTGGCTTATTCAGCCCAATGCAGCACCGATCGCACTGCTGAGCTTGTAGTATCGTAGTCCTTGCAAGAAGTGTCACAAACGTTATGTAGTTAAGTGTTTGGGATCGCGTTGTGCCATAGGAGAGAGAGGCGAGAATATAAACGACTGATTCCAATGCACAGAAGACTGTCTCTGTGCGTTAGACATAATTGTGTCACACAAAAAACCGAGTGATTCGTTATGTTCTCCCGTCATCTCGTCTATGCAAGCTGGTCTTTTAACCAGATGATGATAATGAGGAGACTCACTACACATTTTCCAATAATAGCTAATTTGGTGGTCGTCTGCCTGTTTAACCTATGTCTTGTGTTTGGCTTGTTCAGCCCGAGGTATTATGTACGGATTTGGGCTCCTCTTGAAGTGTTAGTACACATTTCTGCTTTGAAACGCCATCGGGCTACATCTCCAGCTAAACTCCCAACAGCACTATTCGAACATCGTGCCTACGTTGTTGGGTTGTGTTTTGGAACCAAGTCCAACTGAGCTGTTTGGAAGATAAACAGCAGTTCTATTGCTGGTTTACTGCCGTCTATGATGATGGTTATGGGTTATGTCGCCTTGTCGCGGAGCCAATCAACACCAGTCCACGTGATTATCTTGTTGAAAGAGGAGTGGTTAATAAATAACGCTAATGCTGCAAGTCATTCACCCCTAACTGAGTAGGGTGCTCGGACTCCCAACCGGTTTCGAGTCTCCCTCGAAATGGATATTTTTGGTGACTTTAAATAAAGGAAGACGAAATGAGCGCGAGACTGCTAAGTGGTTAACAAGCATACTTGCTAACCAGAAGATTCGTGGTTGGAATCAAATTCCGGGATCTCTACTGCCCCTATCTAGGCTCGGGAAACCTGATGCCTCCTTCGGGTGGCATGTAAGCTAGGCACCAAAAGGGTGTTATTTCCGAATGACCATTGGTATCGTTCTAAACGGGGCAAAACGGCTCTTCTCTGAAGGTAGCACAATACACAAGGTTTCTGGAAACTCTTCGACAGTTCAGGACCAGTTTCGCCTCCCTTGAGGCTCGCCAGATTGGTGCGGTTTCCGAGTTTCCGTCAACCCTATGTTCTCTTTGAACCCAAACTGTGTCAAATTCGCGAATTACACTCATTTTCACTCTGGTTTGGCTTTAACACCAGAATCAACGAAATCCAGACGAGAGTATCCGGCAAACAGCTCTACTACTCCTTTTTCAGGGTTTCAACATGTTCGTCACACTTACAACGTGAATTCCATACGACCATATTTGTGGGTGTTTCCAAACGGTGCACTGGTTTGAGCGTCTGAGGGGCTAGCTCTGAACCGCCCGATATCGCCTTCAGGCGTTTGATTCTCATCGTGGGCGTCGGAACAGCCTGGGTACAATAGCTGGATGTAGCCACTCCCATTTGATTGGTTCCAGCTCTCGTTCAACTGCCACCAGACTGTTCTAATCAAGCAGACAATCGGTTTAACTCAATTCAACACAATTGAATTTAACGTCACCGTTCCACAATGACACGTCAATAAAAAACAATCTGATCGTTGGCTTGTTCGCTGAGCTGGGCAATTTGATTGCAAACGTTTCATCACCAATCGGGGTGACATCATCAGTGTGTTTTTGGGAGCGTAGTAGTGCGTAGCGGTGGATTGGCGGTTGTGCGTTGAGTAGTGTTACGTGTGTGTTAATATACGTGCTGTTAGCTGGGGATGACCTTTGATCGCGATTAGTTGTCCGGTCGGGCAGTTCCTGTGACCTCACTCACTGATTCCCACGTGACCTTTGAGCTTTGCATCTCCTGCTGTCGTATTCTGGTCGATGCTTGAGTGACCGTTGTCCTTCCGAGTTCCGGCTTTGTGACCTTTATTGATTTGACTCCAAGGAGTTCTGTTTCTTTGTTTTTGAATCCAATATTCGGTTCTCCTAGAGTATTCCAGTTGAGATGTTTGTCCTTTGCACGTAGCGGTGCGTAAATTTACTTGGCAGACTTGTCTGATTTTACCCTCTTTATTTTCAGTCTATTTTGACTCTTCAAGCGAGTAGGCGTAAACAGTTGACTGAATATCATCTCGTCCTCCGTTCTCCACAAACTCATTCGAGTGGAATCCCCCATATTTTGTAGTGGACAAACAGCTATGCTGCATTAGTCGATAAGATCTACTGATGAGAGTACACGGCCTGCCGGAATCCTCATACAGCTTGAATTCATGCTGCTTGAAACGGATTCATCGTCGAACCAAAACAGCTGTTCATAGTGACGTGTTTTTGCATCTACTGACCTGATAGAAAACAGTGTATCACGCGTGAGGGGAACTAGCCAACTGTAGCTAGTCACCGGCGCGTTTTCAACCTGTTACGTATTTTTATTGCAGTGTAAAGCTTGTAGTAAAGTTGTATTGGTTTCAACTGCTGCAGTGTTATTCATCGAAGGCAGGGAGTTGTCAGGAAGGCTAGATTCGTGAAAGTAATTCCAGAATGCCCGAAGCCCACGGAGACACTCAAACTCCAGCAAAACCGCAGTGGGGAAGCCGTCAAGCATCCAGACCACAATAGTCATCTTCCAAATGAACGCTCAAGCGATCAACCAATTCATCAACGGCTGAAGATGAGTGTTCAGGCATGCCACACAAGCATGGCCGATAGTGATGAGTATTCAGGCATTTCATAGAACCAACGGCAAATGACGATGAGCCTTCACCCAACGCCGATCGGACCTTCTGGGTTGAAGGTCGAAAGTATGCTTTAACTACTGCGGGGCCCTTTGTAACTTTCACAGTCGCTTGTTCGCAGTAAAGCTGTTGTGGCCCTTCGAGAAATACACTCATTTGCAAATCAATTTGGTTTTCGGGAGAGACTCAACTGAATCTCTCGTTTGTGATATTCTGCAACTGAATGTGCTTCACGCAGGCCGCCTCATGATTCAGTTGGCACGATATTCGAGATATCGTAGTATATTTTCATGAAGGAAACTACTCACAAGGTTGGGTCCAAGTAGAACATAAGGTTGACGGAAACTCGAGGACTGAGCCCACCTGATGAGCCCCAAGAAGGGCGAAACCGGTCGTGGGCTATCGAAGAGTTTTCAGCAATCTTGTGAGTAGTTTCCGTTATGTTGTGTTCCTTGTTACCGAGTCTTTTCCGATTCCAAGGCAGTGGAGCAGAGCCAGCAGTTAGTCACAACAGGAGTGAATTTATAACCGCGTCGTTTTTGAATTTGGGTTACCGGTTAGTTGTTCTGGTCTTTGGTGGGGATGGAAACTGAAGTAGTCCCGCCTTGAAGGCGTTAGATTCGATGCAAAGTTACCACCCTGGAACCTCAACTGCATTAGTTTAGTGTGAGTGCCTGATTTTTCCGTACCGGTTCTGCAAAGTTACCACCCTGGAACCTCAACTGCATTAGTTTAGTGTGAGTGCCTGATTTTTCCGTTACCGGTTCTGCTTACTGTCTGAGCGCGTGCTTAGAGTTTGAATTAACCTAAAGCATATTTGTAAGAGATTGAGCCAAGCTCTCCCATAAGATCCGGATCAATTGAATCTCAGAGGTGTGAAGGTCGTGTTGCATTCTCTTCACTTCATCGGGTATTGAGGAGTATTAATACTGCCTCCTCGTTTGTGTTTGTCCCCAGGATCTTGGTAACATCGTTGTCCCGAAGGCGAACTTCTTCCCGTGCTACAATCCGTCTCGAATGCTATCGTCCTTAAACGGTGACAATCTCGCATCCAGTAAGTTGGAGGTGTCTATTCCCTGGCCCCGTTTCACTCGCCTTGTCGTACCCATAGCGGTAGTTGATCCTACCCCATCAACACATCAGCGAGTCGTCGGACCTCGGCCTGTTTTCAACCCTTACACACAGTATCAACACCAATCTCGTGAACAGTCCGTATACCAGGTACTCCCAGTATCGAGTTCGTCAACCCTGTTGGCCTGTGTGCATCTGAAGCTGCGCTTTCCGGTAAATCGATCTTCTCAGGTCAATATCAGTTTTAGGTAAGTCGAACACATGTTCCTTCTTCGTTAAAATCTAAGACTTCTTAAAACTGTACCACCAACGTGTGCAAGTGCAATAGTACTACCAAAACGCTCAATTCTGACGTCTTTTCAATAGGACCTGCCGTAAAACTGAAGGGTGTCTGGGCTGCCGGTAAGCCATTGAAATCTAGACTGAATTGTTTGAGCAGTTAGGCCTTGCATTCCAGATTGTTACATCGCCGGCCTGAAGTTCGCGTGGAATGATTTGAGGTCTTCGTAACCTGCTGGCTGGTACCCATATGATTCTCCTTGCATCCTACAGGACATGACACGTGACCGATTCCAGTGGCGACTATGATGTCACTTCTTAGCAGGACGGACAATCTAGTATATGCCTGCTGTTATGTTCGAAGCACCAGGCTCGCTAAGTCTTTCGGGTTAGTCTTGCTGGTGATTTATTATTCTGGTACATCCGATGCTCGGATACACTTATTTAAGTACCATTCAATGGTGATCTTTTCCCAAAGTTTCTTAAGTCTTCACACTTCCCTTTTCCTCCCACCTCATACTAGGGCGTCCTTTCCTCATTGTTTTATGATATCTCTGCTCTGGCACTTACTGCTAGTACATTGAGCTCGAGATCTTACAGTGGTTAAGGTGCTAACTGACTGACCGGAAGGTCCTTGGTTCGAATCCGAACTCGGTATCTCAACTGCTCCTTGGGCACCGTGACAGTATCTTAGCCCTTGTGCTTCCTCCGGGTGATGAGGCAGATAGGCAGATAGATAGATACGGCTGGACTAGTGTGCCAGTATCAACGGTATTTCTGTTTCCATGGGCGTGAAAACACTTAAGACCCGTGTGAATATTCTAGGATGCCCGATTCTAACATTACTACTGATGTACGTATTTAGGCAGATAGAGAAACTGACCACAGTCGCACTAGCTTGGCGTGCCAATTGACCGAATTCCTGGAGGAGGGTAGGTCAAACAATTACCTGGCAACGAATTATGAAAGCCATTGCCAGCAAACTCAGCTGCTCTGGTCACTGCCGTCTTCCTGGATGGAAACCCCGAGACAAGACAAATCAATGGTTAGAGACATTTTCAGACGTGGCCCAGCCACGTCCTCAACGGAGCCCATACATGCAAGCTATTGCCTTCACTGCATAGCTCCCCTCCCAATCCACTCAATAGAAAGTCCACTGACATTCCTATATTTTCGCATCAATTATATCAGCTACCGCCTCCAATACGTAGCTATCTACTCCACCTCCCCAAATCATCGGTGAACGAAACTGTGGCAACTATAACCACTGCACAACAAGCGCGCGTTCCTTTTACGGCTGATGATGCCAAAAAAGGTAGGACTAAAAAGGAGTATGTCAAACTAGATGCTATCTTTTCCAGTGTCATAGCAAGCTCAGTCCTGAGTAGTAAGGATAGAACTCTGGATTTCTGTAAATAGTTTCGTCGCGTTTTGAGCGTTTGAAAAGTCACCAGTGCGTTATCTCGAGTCCCATACTAACGTCGTTCATAGACGCAGCCTGGTCTTGGAAAATGTATTTTCCCGCAGACCACTTTCGGGGGGTAAAGTCGCCCCTCAACAAACAGAATCGGAGACTGGTTAGCGTCGGAAAGTGGCCTCACCAGATATAGGATATCTTATGAAATGCTCATTGTAGGCCCCTCAAAGGAATGACATCTTTTTTGCATATTACTGTACTATCTTTCTTCTTCAATTCTTCCTGCGTTTGAGAACTCTTCGCTATTTGGAATTTACTGATCGGAAGGTCCGTGGTTCGAACCCGACCTCTGCCTCTCTACTTCCCTTGTATAGACTTGGGCAACCTGGTAGTATCCCAGCCATCGTGCTTTCTTCTGGTGGCAGGGCAGTTAGGCACCTGAAGGGTGTTACAACTAAACGATTTGAAACTAGCTTTTTAACTCTACGGTATATACCGTTTCTTTCGCATGATCAGCACTGACGAGGCTGTTCTTTGCCAGCAGTATGGATTGTGAGTTTAGGTCCTGGCTGCATACCTAGGTAGAGAATCTCAATTTGTGTGACCGTATGTCACATCTTAGCTATATCTGTCTATATTTTCCCAAAACTGCATCACTTCTTGGAGTTTTCCACTGTGTCTGTTGCCAGTCCACGGGTACTTGCGTTCATTTATAGAAGCATATGAACAACCCTCGGCTGTTGAAAAGTCGATGCGCATATATGTGGTTTGTAAATCATTCGCGTTGCTTTTGCAATTCTTTTGACCATATTGATAGGCAACTATCTGGAAAAAAACATCTTGATCACACGATTTCCCGCATTTGGATTGCGACAAACTAGCTTGTGTCCACTTGTTCCTATTCGCCTTCTCTGACAGTCAATCGATGCTGCGTGTTTACGTATCATTTGGTAATGTAAATGTGACAAACACATTTTCCCATTGATAGCCGTTTTTGCCTTTTCCACAAGCTGCCCCGTAATAGTGGCATGCACACTTCACCTCCGCTTGTCACTTCGTTTCAAACAGTGAACTTTTGCAAACCGTAACCGCGGGACCACCGTCCGATGGTGGGGTAGCACCTGCATCGTACCATCAGAAAACGACAACGTACTTTGATTGGTCCTTGTTTAGGCGATCAGCTGTGACCAGTCTAGAATCGACCCACTATGTACCAGCTGATGTCTGGGTTGAACTCTCTGTCCCAGTGGACGCGCGAGCGAGTGTGTTGAACGACTTGGAGTCGATTTCGCAACAACAAACTTCCAAAAATATGGAGCCACCGATAACTTTCTCCAGTAATGGAGCAACGTGGATTGCGCGTGTCCTACGAACTGCCCTACACATCGAGACAACCTCAGGTGTGTGTTTGGATGATTTCCAGCTGCGTCCACTGATTCACCAACTATCGGCAGATGCAAATGACACCAGCACTTGTGTTCGTAGCCTACATTGGACTGACCCAAAGACGGAGCGAAAAACGATACTGCTCGTCGACGAATTCGGTGTCCCACTGAAACCCGCTGATCCGTCGTCTACCCGAGAAACCCGGTCGCAAAGACCATCCCTTTATTTGGCTGACAATCGAACCTCGGTTGCGGGCTTCAGTTGGCTTCATTTTGCCGGTTCTCTAGTCCTAGCGGTCTCTACAACCGTGCTTTTTCTGCTATTTGTCTCCGCGGTCGGTTTGTCGATCGTTCTGGCTCACAAACGCAAACCTGGTTGCCGGATACGACGATACCCTGTCCATCCCAGTAGCAAAGCGCCTTCTGACGGTGCACCATCGACCCCGTTGGTACCAAGTCTCCTCTCCGAATCCGTATGTCCAGTCAAGTATGACTATGAAACTCCGACTGTGGATACCGAACCGAATTCGACTCAATGTGGAGAAAGTTTGTTCCTAAATGGCACGGACACTTACCGTAGTGACAGAGAACACCCACCTGGGGTACGTTAGTTTTCGCCTATGCAGTTTTGTCATGTTCTGGTCTTTTCAATCATGCTTGTTGGGTCTCCTGGCTTCCTTGAGTACTAAGCTGGTGAACTCAATAATATCGATTATCCCCTTAACCCAAGGGAGAATCAGCACTCGGAGAACGTCCCGGTCAGCTCGGTCAACGAGTCTCATCATAGCAACTCACTAAGATTGGGGTTTCGTAGAGTGTTTCATCAAACATGACCGGTCCTTGAACAACTCAAGACCCAGTCACTGAATGTGGTGTCCCTAGAGGACATCATTCGCCCATTAGCAGCGAGCTGCTATAAGCGATAGGACCACATATCGTGTGACCTCATCTCTACATCGGGTGGAGTTTATTTTGAAAAGACTTTCGTGTTAAAGAAATTCACTCAGGGCCTGGAAGCTCATAGCGTGGTGATCATCACTTGCTCCGCAAGAATCTGTAACTAGTTAGGACCACAACTTGACTATTCACCAGTATTTGGGCTGTTTTTACTATGACAACCGCCGGCTGATATAAATCACACACAGCATTAGTTGCTTCAGACTTGGTGAGTGAAGTATGGTCATTTTTTACCAGATAGTTCGACGCTTAAGGCGCGAACTTACTGACTGCGAAGTCCGTGGTTCCAGTCCACACCCAGCATCTCGGTTGCTTCTCTCTGGGTTTGGGAAATCTGGCAGTATCTTAGCCTTTCGTGCTTCTTCCAGGTAGCATGGAAGCTGTGTACTGAAAGGATGTTACCTCTGAACGACCAACTGCCAGCAAAAAAAGGGTCATCTAGCCGATCCCTGACAATCTTTACTGAAGGTGCGAGAGCTCGAAATTAAGCAACACCTTAGTCATCCTCATCGTCAACTTATCCAGGTCATTTTGTAATATTGGCCCTATGCATGGCCACAAGTAGTTACAATTTATTCTCCCTCATAGGGATGAGGGGTGAAATGGCACAAATTTGCCGACCTGATGGTCTGTGGTTTGAACCCAACCTAAGCATCTCGACTTCTCCTGGCTAGACTTAGGCAACCTGGCAGTATCCCAGCCCCCTTGTCTCCTTCTGTTGGCATGACAGCTAGGCACCGAAAGGGTGTTACAGCTGAACGACTATCGATTGTCTATAAGGGATGCCCCGCAAATCAGAGGTTTACTATCCTTGAATACGATAATCCCCCCCTTCCGTCAGGATGAAAAGTTTTCTGTGGCACAAATTCTTCCATCGAAAATCTCTCTGGAGGGACGTTCGTATGAACTGAAATGCTTGTTTCACCGCACTAGTTTCTAAGACAATATAGAGTGACATTCAATTATCGCGTGTTCAGTTTTCTCACTATTTTCCGGTAGTATAAGTTTCACAATAGTCGATAAAAAGTTATCAACCAGATTACAGCTGTACTGCACTCGCCTTACAGGTCAGCAGAAACGGTCTTCCATCCAATTTACTTGGCAGATTTTGTGAACTCCCTTTGTAGTTGTGACATTTTTCTCCACAAAATGTTTTCGAGGTTTTAAGTAACATCCGAAACCTACCAACCAATACACCCGAGCTACCAATATTCCAACACATTACCATCATAGCCATGTATCCAGGCTTCGTCCAACTTTCGTGAACCTCGGTGAAATCTGAACAACTCTCAGGGAGTTCATCCTTTACTTCAAAGTCTAAAAAACTCGTTCAGCTGTAGCACCATTTCGGTGCCTAACTGCCATGCCACCAGAAGGAAGCACGAGGGCTGGGATACTGCTAGGTTGCCCAAGCCTAGACAGGGTTAGTCGAGAGACAGAGGTCGGGTTCCAACCTCGGACCTTCCAGTCAGTAGATGCTCTCTCTCTAACCAATGAGCCGTCTCTTCAAAGTCAGCTGTAGTTGAAAGACACTGCATAGTTGTATCATATTCGTGTGGCGATTATCAGCCTTGCGCACTTCAAAAACACCAAGGCGATTCCAACCTGAAACTTTCCGGAAGCAGTTAGAGCACCATAATTCGGCTACGGATGACTTCATCTATCTGCACCAAGAGAGGATATCACATCCTCAATTTCCATATTCGCGGCTTTTGTCGCGCAGTCTGGTTTCATTTAACGTGGCTGACCAGTTTTGCTTGTCTTTCCATTCATTTTATCTGATTGTCTCATCCGTCTTTTCTAGGTACATGAAATCGGTGCAGAGGCCGCCAATACCACTGCTGTCCAGTTAATGCGAAACTGGTACTTTTATCGCCGTCGAGGCAATCGCGCACGCCAAAAGTTTATTCCACGGGGATCGTCTCCGGATCCTCCACCCCTCGCCTTTCAACCTCCTGTCAGCGCACATCCCTTTGACTTCGGCCGCACCGACGTGGCCCTACGACCTGCTAATTACAATCGAAGTTCATCTCAACACTTGGGACGTCAGTCCATGGTTTTGACCACAGATTCAAACAATCAGCTGGTCATTCTTCCAGCATTTCAATCAGACTCGGCTCCGTCAACGAACATGCGCTCCGGTTCCAGTATCACTTCTGACCCGCAATTGTTTATGATTCCCGAGACCCCACCATCATTGCGTCGATCGACTGCCGTATTGACCGATGCCGAAGCTACCCGGTTAGAATTGGCGGAATCCGTCCGACGTTTGGAGGACTACTTTTCGCAACCGAATCAATCCGGCACACCCGAACTTCATTTACGTTATCCCAACTGCGATAGCCTAACCCCAGCCACTGTGGCTCGATCTCAGCTAACATCAGACCCACCCCCCCTGGACTACACTCCATCATCTGAATCCACCGATTCCCGTGGATCGTCGACAGTCAACGGTCCACCCGCCCACCCCCGCACAAATACACGCAATACTAATCCGAACTCCATGTGATCGACCACCAACGTGGTTTATACACTTGCCTGCGGAGCGAATTTTTCTACCACTTTGTCCAATATAAGGTTCACGCAGGGAATACATAGGTCTCGTGATAGTGCAGAACAACTGTTATACCCCGCCCGCTCCACACAACCGTAGTTGCCAGACCCTCACTGCTATTATGATGTGCTCTACGCTAATTGTTACCCCGGCCGTTTTTTCTATCTGCTATTCTTTCTGCTAAGTGATTCCCTATCTACCTCCCCAGTCCAATCGATAGTTACTTTTTATTTGTCAAGTGTACAGAACACTTCTTGTTGCTGTTATACTATCTCCCTGAAGGTAATCTCAGAACGCTTGGTCTTTGTTTTTTGTGCCCTATCTCCTATCTTTTTTTCTTTTAGATACACGTTTTACTTGAATCTGGCACTTCATATTTAAGAAAGAATGCGCTCTAATTGCTCGTTTTTTCGTAGCTCTGTGTTTGGGAATTCGTGCGTTCATCGACCGGACCTGCGACATCTGTCTCATTCTCGTTGTGCGTCCAGCTGTCTCGGTCGAGTTTTCTCCTTTCTCGTCAACATCACCGCTGAAATTGTTCTGGTACCATTATGTTGATAATTGAACGGACACCGGTAGAGTTTGTACAGTATCTGTGACACAAATGACACGGAACAAGATGTCCGGTCGTTGGCTGTCGAAGTGCTTTCAGCAACCTTATGATTAGTGTATCACTTCTATGAAATGTTCGCTTGTTTTTACGCTGGGTCACGTGAAAAATAGGGTGCTAGTGTGGTAATGAAAACCCTGTCAGACTGTCGCGCTTGTAGGATGGACAGTCTGGATGGTTTTCAGTGTGTACGCTTGGAATCATTGTCAGCATGTATCATGCCAAGTGAGCAAAGATCCTGGGGCGATTTTATTTGATCATCGCCACTAACGCTGATTTTGGATCCTCGTGCCTTGCCATCGTTTGCTTAAATCCTTTGTGACTGACTGACGTCCGAAACAGATCTGTTGACAAGCAGCGGAGAAGTGATACGGTGATAATTATTCTTGATCTAACCGGCTTCCGACTAATTCATCACACTGGTGGTTAATTAGGTGGGATCTGTTCGCCAAGCTTGGCAATCACTTTACAAACGTTCCGTCCCCACATACCCTTTAAAAACTGTATAAATGCAGGCAGGTAAGGAGGGAGTACCCAGTCAACTGCGCACTGACCATATCTCTTTGACTGGGAGTGAAACATTTGCAAGTCAATCACTATGTTCGGCGAACAAATCAACCAGCCACCAGTAACCGCGCCCGAGCTACCAATATTTCGGCATATTGACCATCAGACTACTGGTGATCCATGGAAAACAGCGTGAACCTATTATGGAGAGGTCACGTGCCCAATCACTCTGTAAGCTCACGTGATGAGTCTCAACAACGACAAGAACGGGTGTACGGCTTGGACTCCTCAAGATCTGACGACATATTTACCTAGGATATTCTAAAAGTATCCCGTGTCTCCAAGCCCAATCAAATAATCGGGGCACGAAAAGACAACAGGTGCATCCATGTAGTTTAGCGTCTGTCATCATCATCAAAGACAGCAACATCAGTGTTGGCACTTCACTGCCGTCTGATTAAAACTTGATTGCATTATTTGTTGTAGGCCTGTTCGGTCATGACTTCCTTGTGAGATTGTTCTGAGGGCGTGTGAGCATAGGAGAACCTAAGGGTTATTCTCCGAGTAAATGGCCAAATTCGCGGGGAACTTCTTGCCGATCACAACCAAATGACGGTTGCTCATTTATTCCCTTGGATCCTTAGATGGACCAAGAAAGGAGCAATCTAGCGGTAGTACGAGCCCGAGATAGACCAGTGGTTAGGGCGCGAACTTACTGACCGAAGTGCCCATAGTTCGGAGCCAACCCCGGTATCTCGACGGTTCCTGTCTAGGCTCGGGCAACTGGCAGTGTCTAGTACGAGCCCGAGATAGACCAGTGGTTAGGGCGCGAACTTACTGACCGAAGTGCCCATAGTTCGGAGCCAACCCCGGTATCTCGACGGTTCCTGTCTAGGCTTGGGCAACATGGCAGTGTCTCAGCCCTCGTGCTTCCTTTGGGTGGCATGGCAGCTAGACACCGAAAAGGGATTACAGGTGAGCGAATTTCTCAGTGATGATACCTGAATTACATGTTTGGACAGCTGCGGTTGAACGCAGTGCCTGTACATTAGGTTTGTGTAATGGTCTGCAACAGCAGGCAGGTCACAACTCTGAGATCTTGTATCCATACCAGCATTGATTTTTGGTATATGCTACGTCAGTACAGCCTTGATTGTGTGTATTCCCAAAGCATTGAAACGCCAAGTGACCGTCGTGTGTTTTTGTACCAAACCTAACCATAGAGCATATTAGGCAATCAGGAACGCCACGTCGGATCTTTGCTATCTGTTTGTTTATTCCTAGGTGTTGTGAATATGTAATCAATGTCGAATCCAGGTACACTCGTAGTTGACATTACTTTTTTTACCAAGATATCCGACGTGTGTATTTCGAGAGTGGTGCAATCACTTTCGATATCGGCTACTCCCTATCCCCATCGGTGCAGAGCAAGGAATGGATATTTCTCATCACATCCACGTGACGCGGCAATGCAATCGATGGTGAGCCGAACTGAAATTACAGGTGTACCTAATTTCTGTCATATTGGTTCATCTCATCAGTCTACTCCTAATTTCATCCCAGTCGGCAAAGATTATCTACGGTAGTCCTTCCTTAGAGGAACATCTTGTTTGGGGGAATGTTTTGTTTCTGTCATGTCACAACAGCCTTACTGATCCTGATTTGGCCAGCAACCCTGGAAGATATCCCTCCATTACACTAATACTTCAGTGTTCCTGACAAGTAAATGCACTACCTTTTATCTGGGCGCATTACACTACTTATAAGGTTGCTGAACACTCTTCGACGACTCACGACCGGTTTCGCTCTTCTTGGGCTCATCAGGTGGGCGCATTACCTGAATTTTTGCCAACTTTATGTTATACTTGAACCCAAATTGGATGGATTTTGACATATACTCTCTTACGCTAACTAAGTTTTGTTCGAAAGTCACTTATGATAGGCAATAAAGCTAAAGAGTACGGGGGATAAAATGATGTCATGTATGATACCGTTGTTCCTTCCTCAAGAGAGGTCACCTTTCGGAAGATAGTTGGTCTCTTGAATCGCGCTGCAGTGGTTAGAAGCTACCTCTTGCTTCGGAGTGGGGGGCAACTACGATTGGGCATTTTTCAAGGTCATACTAAGTGCCGTTGCGCTTCTACACTGTCATACATCTCTCCGTAAAACTGCTTCTCAGACAGACGGCACCAATATCACTGATAAGATACGAGAATTGGTTCACATTATACAATCCCATGGTGTTTATGCGTCTTCTTGCATTAAGTCTGAAGACTGATGCAATGGTATCAGCGAAAAAGTACCCGAGACAATCGACGAGCTCTTAGGCTAGAGTTTGATTGATCTGTCAACATATTCTAATTGAGTCTATTCCACTGTTTTCATCGACACATGGAGCATTTACGGATTCGTCTCCTAGTTCATCCGTCAAATGGACACAACATACTGGATGTTTCAAGCAGGTAAATTTACCGGTTGCCATTTAGAAAGATAGCTGGAGAACTCACTTTACTACGAGTTAAAACGTTCTATCAGACTTGAAAACTGTTGGAAACATACGGATCACCGCGTCTCTGTTACCAGAGTGTACAGGGCATAGGAAACGATCCATACAAAAGAGTATTTAAGTATGTCAAGAAAACATTTTGGTATTGAATTTCGAGGAAATGCAGTTCTGAACTTTTCATCTCGGAGGACGGAATCTGTTCTGCCTGACCTGCTTAGTCCCAAAAACAAAAAGGCAGTGATCTTTTGTTTTCCTTGACAGTATTGATTTTTATTCGAAACGGTTTTCGAAAACACGAGGTGACATGTTTGGGTGCTAGTGATTTCATAAGATCGCGCTGGTGGGCAAAAGTTTTCTGATGTACACATTTGAGAATATGCGTGGTCGCTGATACAATTGCAACTAATATTCTTACCACAGATAAGGACCGCTCTTTTGGGTCGAACATCGTCCTGCAAACTTTCAGAGGACAATTTCAGTATCCTGGATGCAAAAAGAATTCTGTTTTCCAAGTCACAGTATGACCATTCAGCCGGAAAACCGCATCCGTCTGGTGCACTCCCCTTTAGTGTGATCCGTGTTTGTATTGTCAACCCGTTTCCCTACGCTTGAGATAACGCAGTGCTTAAGACGTGAACCTGACGACCGGAAGGTCCATAGTTCGAATCCAACTCCGGCATCTCAGGTACTACTGTCTAGGCTTGGGCAACTTAACAGTATCTCAGCCCCTGGTGCTTCCTTTGAATGGCATGGTAGCTAGGCACCGAAAGGGTTTTACGATTGTTTATATTGAATGTTCACGCCTAACTGCCAAACCTACCTTCTATGTACGACCGCTGTGAAAACGTAAATGCAGCTGACAGTTTATAGGAAACTCGACTGTTTTGTCTGATACATGAATACCGGTCAACTTTCATAGTACAATCTAGGTTTTCGTTCCTCAGTATGCTACTTACGTAAAGGTAAAGTTAGGAAGTTCTGCGTCTGGACACATAAATAGACCAAGATTTGCGGAGAACATGTATACGGGTGTTTGAAAAAATAACAACTCCCCATGAACTTCAATCTAGTATGGTCAGATTAATGGTTGTTGATAATTTAAGGAAAGTGGACGATAGGTTTAAAGGTTATCTGCTTGAAAATTCACCCATAGGTCATCTGATAAGTCTCATCACCTGACTCAGCTCAAAAGATCTAGAGTCCTCTCACAGATGGTCTCATTAATCTTGCCTCGTGGTACTATCTCATACAATGTGATTAAAAAAGAAACACTCTTGTTTTATGTAAGGTGCACGCGTTTTTTCGAAACAAAATCGGATGGGGGAGATGTTGCGTCGCCCATGAGGGTTTCGAACCTGAGTCACCGAAATGCTAATCCACGATCAGTATCCGCCTGGTAGTTCGGGTCGACTATCCACTCCAAACTCTGTCCTGGGCGTCTTTTCGCTTGCCCAATCTTGAGGAATCTACTTGGTCATGCCTAATTACCTCTCATATTGTTCAATTTAAGCATAAAGATAGTCCAGCAATTGCTCCAACGATGATAGTGTAACCACGTATACCACTGATGAGATGTGAGTAATATTCGCTCGAAACGACAGCTTATTTGGAAACTATTGAACCATCAGACCGGTTTTTTTTTCAGTTACGTTAAAGCGGTCTCTAAGGGAATGCTGACTTTTCAAACTCTGTGCAAAAGTGTTGGAACTGTCCAATTGCCTGTAACCGCTCTGTTTATCAGTAAATATGACCGAATTCTGATTATAACCGATATCGAACAAGTACGTGACGCAGGCGCTTCTACACTCCAAACTTCGGACCTACCGGCGTTGTATAACTTTTCAGCAAAATAAAAAGATATCTTTCGATTCCGAACGGAGGTTGAAGATCGTTTGAGTAAGCGAAGGTTGTGACGCAAAGTACACTTGAATTCAGTCCATCGTTTATAGCAAAAGCCCTGTGCTGCGAAGACACTTGACTATGGTGCTGGTTCTCTCCCCATTACTTCTACCTCCCAAAAAAAACCCAAATTTGCTTGGTGTTTTTTGAATTTGTGATCAAGGCAGAGTCATCATTGATAGCACAGTATCAATGTTCACTATCGATCCTCGGGGACTGTGCCTATCTGATGAGCCCCAAGAAGGGCGAAACCGGTCGTGGGCTGTCGAAGAGTTTTCAGCAACCTTGTGAGTAGTTTCCTTTATGAAAAAAATTACTCATTAGGTGATAACTGATTTCTTGGCGACCTTGTTCGCTGGAGTGAAAAACATAGGAACAACAAGATGTATGCGTTCGTTTGACCAATGCTATTCCACTGGCGGTTCATTCACCCAACAAAACACCACCTCTAGGCACCAGGTCGCCGTACAAGTGAGTCATTTTAAGGAGCAGGTTCAGTCTTTCTGAGCATCACTAGTAGTGCTCATCTTGCTAACTTTAGGATGGTTGGGTATACGACTTAACATTTGGGAGTCCATTGTATGGTTACAGATGGCTGCTAGAGTGCGATTAACTTTCATTCAGCCAGGACACGGCGCCACTCTTTCATGTCACTTGATCACTGACTGTTCGAAAAAGCCTCATGATGGTTAACCCTCTCTCAGATAGTCGGGAAATTTTGGAGCTTCAATGTAGACTTTCGTCCCGAAGACGACCTTTGCTGAGGAGCCGGGAAGCTAGGAATCGTCTACAGTGTGCGGTAAACGTTTCTCTATGGTGATTATATATATATATATATACGCGTTCAGCTGTAGCACCCTTCCAGTGCCTAGCTGCCATGCTACCCGAAGGAAGCACGAGGGCTGGGATAATGCCAGGTTGCCCAAGCCTAGACAGGGGAGGTCGGATTCGAACCACTGA